GTCCTATAAGGGGGCCCCTGAACGCCGAAGTCTTGGCGTCGTGGGACCAAACGCACCTCGCGACATCAAGCCCCTTCCTTGACACTCTCCATTGTCCCACGAAGGCCGACAACAAACGAAGTGAATCCTTCCTTTTTTTATATGTAGTGTAGTGTATGTAAGGTCGAGAAGGTGTTAGGCCTCTCCTCCGGTTAGCTCTCAGTCTTATATTTCCCTCCTTCTACTCAAGAGGAAGCCAAGCCAATCAACAAACTTTTATTTTCAGCTCTCTAGTGTTCCTATCTACCGTTCCTGCAGCCACTGAACAAGACCGTACTCCCTGAACAGCCGCGGACTACCCGACCCTTGAAGGAAGAGGAGGTATACGACAGCAAACGCTGAAATGGTCATGACACCCCTCCGGCCCCACCGTCAGATTCTGAGTACTGTCCATCTTCAAGTCAGAGCTCTCTCCATCTACCACGAGATAGGCGAATGATTGTCCACAGTCTCCACGAACACCACTCTTACAAAAGCGAGCTCATGAGGCCACTCGAGAGAGCAGACGTGACGAGGGGTGGTTAATGTGTACAACAGGGCTGTCCCTCTAAAGAAAGAAGCGAAGTGGAGATGGAACTACGAATACCCTCCTATCTGAATTTGATAGCGGGGCTAATGGAGAAGCGAATACACCCCACTCCGTAAAAGGCTTTCTGCCAAGCTGGCCTATCTACTGGAACTATCTAGCTGCTGTATCGGCGCAGAAAACGAAACTCCCATTCCCAGAATTTGGGGCGACTGCCGAGACCTGGATGCAAGCAGTGACCACGGAGCCGAGCACACTCATGCATTTCTTATGTACTCGAACGAGCTGGTGTTTAGAATTCCCAGTCGGCGATACTTGTGTTAGCTGAACGGTGAAGGGAAGAATGATGGTAGGCGGCAGTGGCAACTGCGGGACAGGATGCAACAGCAGGACCCAAGTAGACGAGCTCGGCTATCTGCGTGGGCGGCACGAGTCCTCAACCAACCAGCTTCAGTTCCAGCTTGCGCTTACAAATAGTACAGAAGAATGGGTGCTGGGGCAGAATGCAAAATACGGGCGGATCTCGATGCTGCGACTATGCGCTCATATACGAAAGTTGCGGCTTGGGCATTACCTCATTGCCTCATGCATTTATGCGGAAACGATCTCGACATTATCAGATATGATATATCATGAAAATGCCTCACCCGTACTCCAGCTACACAGGCATTTGCACGCGCCAAGATCTCTGACGGACTTCCGACGATGTTTTCTTTCAGAGGATAAACCCACTCCGTCACGTGGGATATTTTCGGATGATTCATACAGACAGTCCTGGAAAAAGGTTATAATCCCCTTTCGAACCAAGAAGGGGGCCCGTCTGCCCTCAGCCAATATGAAGGGCAACCCATGTCAAGTCATACGCCGAAAGCATCTGATCTAACAGCGAGCCAAATGGACGCGTACGCTAGGCAGATGTTCTTATCGATGCAAGATTACCACACTGATACCGAGGAGGATCTGAAACCAATTGTGCGGCTCTTCGACATCAAGATAGTCAGTCAGAATGTCAGAGGTTCTTACACTCGTGATAGGTGGGACTGGCTGTCGGCCTGGAGGAACATACCAAAAAAAGAGAGACCGGCAAGGATATAGCTCCAAGAGACACATGGAAGCTCAGTGGCGGAGGGACAGGAGCTCAAACAGTGTTGGAATTGGATGTGGGGACAACCTGGTCGGAAGACGACGCTGTCCTGTTGTAGTGTGGGTAACGACAAAAATAAGGGGTGTCGTTTTGGTATTTCCAGACTTCGTTGGCCAAGTCAAACCATGAAGCAGAGCATAATGGACGACGTCCCTCTTCGCCATATGCACGTATTGAACATTTACACTCCGGCTTCGCAAAAAACCACATAGGGAACAAGGTTTTGGAAGGATCGCAGAATGCCAGTTGTCGAAGGTGGCATTCTCACTCTTAGGAGGTAGTTTTATTTGTGTGGAGATACCGCTTGGAAGGTGAACACTCGGAAAGAACAGCGAATCCATTTCTGCCACGGCTCGTCTAAGACGCAGAAATTTCGGATGCTCGGACCCTTCTGGGTTTGGCGCTAGATAAACTTGAGATAAGTCCAACTGAGCACTTCATTTGTAAAGAGAAGCAGCAAGCGGAAACGATCAGTTTTGCATTCCAGACAAGCGGAGTACATGGTGCCAATGGCTCCATTTTCAACCGCCACCAGTTCCATCAGACCAGGGTGATAACACTCTGCAACTGCGAGATCAAAGCCTACCTTTAAAGAGAAGGAATTCTTCCCGAAGCACTGCGTATCCAGCTCACGACTGCCATACCGAACGATTCATTGACGAGTTACTACGGGAGACCCCTTCAGCTAACATCGTCTGGCTCAACGGTGAGGAATATCTAACAGTGGTCAAAGACCACATCTACTACCAAGCATGCTGCGCTAAAACACCAGTGAGCAGCTTCTCCTTCATCAGAGCAGGTCAACTCTCTCGGCTGATCACCGCTTTTTGTAAAATTCCCGGACTTACTGTATTTGACGAGATCACAGACCGACCTGAGGCTCATGCCAACGAATCCGGACCACCCCTATCTCGTCACGGCACCGAAGCCAGTGAACAGTCATTATAGCTCACAGACAGCGGTGGGCAATAATGAGACGACGGCGCTGGTAGCACTGGTACCACTGCGTCTCATATCGGATGTTTGCAAGGCCACTGGAAGCAATACCCTTGTTCGAAATGTTTACTTCCATCCTGCAACATCACTGCTCGCCTGCGTTTGAGAGGATTCTCGGAGATAATCGAAACGACGGTCTCATGCCAAGCCGACGGCTTCAGCGCTCCTATACGAAAGGACGGCTCAGCATTAGGAGCCGCCAGCAAGAATGGACATACGAATCAGCTGCCTTTCAGACGGCTCTTGATGGATTACGAAGGAATAACATTGGGAAGGTAGAGGTCCTTAACGCGTGGAGAGTGCAGCTATTGTACATAATTAAGGCCAGGGGGCTAAGTATTTTCTAACTGAACGCTAATCGAGAATTGATCCCCCACCCAGACTACACATACCAGAATGACACTCAACTTAATGTTTTCTGGGAGTGTCCGGCAGCACAACAACTATGGGGAAAATTAGCTCTGCTTGGCAAACGCTCGGTGCCAACGCTGATGTCACCAACATCACAACGGTAATGAACGTCAACCTCCAAAAGGTCCCGGTTGGATTCTTACAGCACGCTTAGTAAGCCCTGCCCTGTTACAACATGCATGAACGAGCGAAGCTATTCCTGACCATATCTTCAAAAGTTAGAAGATCGGCTTGATCACAGTTTTTCAAGTCAAATGGAAGTGGAGATGCAGCTACATTGACCCGTCTGCTTAAAGTAGTGCCTGACGCTGTCGAGCTATCCCTTCGCCTCAGGCAGGCCTACAATACGGTAGCTACTCTTTGTCGAAACGCGAACGCACCCCGACCAGGGAAAGCGCCAGCTGTATCGTGTCAAGACGAACAAACGCTGATGGGCATCCGGCACCGGTCATCGCAGCACAGCGGACCTACGTTTTGTTCTTTGCCGGAGGGTCCAGGAGCAATCCAGGACCCGACGGCAGAGGAGCTGGATCCTTGCACTTGCACCGAACGGGCCCGTAGCGATATGGATAGCAAGCATGGTCTATGGCGACCCGATCACGACGAGCAACATTGCTGCTGGCAGCGGATTATTACGCGGGCTGAAATACGCCAAACTTGCTAAGTGGGTGTCAGCCAGACGATTATTCGTCAACTTGCTCACCGGAAACCACCGATTGGCCAGTATCTCTCAAAACCTTACTGGCAATGCCAGGTACAGGCGGATATATGCTATGTGCAAACATGGACTCGTCATTGTCTCGCTCACTATCAAACGGCTTATCCAAGAAGACGGCTGTCGTGAAGGAGGAAGTGAAGGATCTCGTGACACCACCCGGGCCTCCCGCAATGGGGGGTTCGGGAACATGAAAAGTGAGCTGGAAATCCTACCGCACAAAGAGCAGGTGCAAGTCTCCATACAGGAGATAGAGAAGAGTCTGCAGTCGAAGACAAAACACGCAGCGAAAATGATGACGAATCCATGGGGTGGTCTGGGTCAGAGCCTCTAGTTTTTGACGACGTCAAGGTTGAACCGCTTACCTTCACGGAAATGTTCGAATACCTACGTTGTGAAACTGCTGGTATGGATCTAGACAAGGCTATGGAAGTTGAGAGCGTGGCCGACTTTATTCAAGATCTATTCGAACAAGTTTTTCTCGCTAGACCACGAGACCCCCTGCCACCGACACGGGCACGATATCCTGACCTATCTAAGGGAGAAACTGAAAAGCTCCTGCAACTGTTTCTAACAGAGGCAACAACTACGAACTATGATTCACGTAAATGGCGGGCGAGACTGGAAGGACTTGCTCGCTCCATCTACAAATCTAGACGAACACTAAGTGAAACGCTGTCAGCAGCCGAACAAGCAGTGAAAGCCAGGCCCGCGCCAGTAGCAAACCCGTGGGAACAGCGACTATTTCCTCAATCTACCGGTAACGATGAAGACATTGACATGAACGACGATAAAAACTCCAAATTTCGCTTCCTTCGCAGTGCATATTCAGTAAATGAAATTGAAGAATTTCGAAAACTATGTGAAACCCATATGGATTTCCTAGCCACCTTCGAGAACCCACAACGGCTGAAAAGAAGGTGATCAAAGGAATTCTGGAAGGATCCATCCTCTGTGCAGTCCTGCCTGACTTTCTCAAGCGCGTATGCACAAACAAAGCCTACAGATACATTCAAAACACGATCAAAGCCCAGGTGGAAGGCGATCTTGTTCTGCTGTTAAGCCCAGACTTTAAAAAATTTCCGCAATTTCAAACGCGAAAGAGACTAACAGCGGAGTTTTTTCTTGGTCGAGGCAACGATAAAAATGATTCCAAGAAGGTAGCAGGAATGCTTCAGGAAGCAAAGCAAATCTGCTACGACGAAGGACAGCATGCGATTCATATCATTTGCTGGACAAGAGAGCTAGCTGCAAAGTGGAGCACCGTTTTTACCTCATTGCAATTCCGTAACCGCCACTTCCCACTGCAGAATGTGCACACGGAGGAATTAAGAGCCGAGACGAATCCTGAGCAACGTGCTAAGCAAGTATGGGCTCGTCAGATTGGAGCAGACGGAATTCTTAACGAGCAACCACGTGATCGTTACCATATTCGTCTCCTCAATATCTCTCGTTTCATGGATGAGGCAGCCATTGATATGTTTTTGCAAGCGCACTTCAGCGGAACGTACACGACTTGGCAAGAGCCATGCACGGGATATAACAATGTGCTGCAGACGGATACATGGGACATATTCTTTAAGTGCCACACATGTCCTCAATTTTTGGACAGCAAACCATTCATCAACTGGAATGGCACTAAGATCCTCGTGCACCATGTTAGTAAGTCGGCCTCACCACCGTGTTTTTCATGTGGTGCCAAAGGTCATCTACGTACGGTATGTAAAGTAGATGACACGTACTGGCAGGATAACTAATGCGTCACTGTCTCGGCATGGGACATCGAGACATTGCCTAAACAGGCTTCTACTGTAACGAGCTTCAAAGAGCTAGATAGCTGCTGGGTACCACCAGACACGAAACGCGAAACAACACCATCGACACGGCAACATGAAGAGGAAGGACGCGTGGGAAGAAACGATGGAGGAAGTACATGGCAAGAAGCCAAACGAGCAGAAATCACGCCAAACCAGGAAGCTTCTAACACACCTCAGGTGCGTATTCAGCGGCGTCCACAGGCCAAAGAAACAATAACCACGGAGCAAACCAGTGATAGAAGTGAAGTTGACAAGAAGCCCAAACATCTCGGCATATCCATTGCAGAAGAAATAAAAAACAAAATTCGACACGGTACGGCAGAAATGGATAAATGTCAGCTCTTAATTGAGCAGCTAGCCTCGGAACGCAAACGAAAAGTCGACCCTACAGCATTGAAAAAGTGTCTTGGAATTCAACTAGGGCAGAAACGGCAACCTCATACCGTGGTGGAGGCGTGTGGTCTGGAATTTGTTTCGACCCCACCAACAGGTAATTGCCAGTACTATGCAGTCGCTATGGCTCTCCTGAACCAAGGCTATGGTCCGGATGGGAGCACCCGAGCTGTAGAAAACCTCACAGCGAAACTAAAACAAGGAATTAAGGCGGCAGCTGAACACTGCTTTGACAAAGAATTCCCTCACGATATTAGACAGACAATCCTCGGGATACTGGGGAGCGTTGACGACTGGATTGAACACGGATACGACAAAACCATAGACCCTAAAGCAAAGAAGCTCACGCCAAAACAAACAGAGACCAAACTAAAGAAGTACTTCGAAGAAGTAGCCCGGTCAACTTCAAAAGTAGAAGCAACTATACCAACTAAATATTGGGGAGGTGAAGTTACTCTACGAATGATGGCCAAAATATTGCACCAGCCCATCCTTGTTGTGATTGCCAGAGATGGGAACAAGGACCCATCTTACCAAGTGTTTGAGCCAGCAGAACCCATAACGTCTGCGCCAACGAAATTCTACACAGCGAAAGAACGGTCTTACTCTGACAACCCCAACGGTTGGATCAGAGCCCTCCAGGTAGACTGCAAACGCCAACAAGAAAAGGGGAGCATCCCGGTGGTGCTGAAGTTCCGCGGAAGACACTACAGCTGGCTTCGGTTCCAACACAGTTCTCTGGTGAGTACAGAAGCAATTTCCATGGAAATCGACAGTACCACCGACAAAAGATACGATGCGATCGATCATCACGAAGACCAAAGTGATAAGAAAAACGGTGGCTGCAGAGCTTGAACAAATCCGGGAAAACATGGCGAACGAGCAGTCACGCTTCCCCTCATTGGAAGTAGCAGAGCTGACACCCAGAAGACGCGACGAACTTCGTGAGCTGGATCTCACAAACACGGACGAAGTAGAAAAATGGTCAAAATACCTGAATATTCCGATTGAAACCGTAGTACAATGGCAAGCACAGCTACAGAACATGGGATCCACGTCTACATTCATGCCAAGTCCATCCGCTACGGAAACAGAGACAAGCTCGAGCTGGACCCCAACTGAATCCTCGGATATGAGCACAGACGCTGAGAATGATAGCAAACCCGCTCTGTCAAGCGCAAGCACAGGAATTGGTCGATTTCAAGGCTCTAATACAACACTGGAGATCAGTTGACTACGTCGAAAAAGTCTTTAACAAGATTGGAATCAGCTCGCGCAACAATGGATTTCTAGCACTATAGTATCGTTTCCTACGATTCCTACTGATTTGGCCACTTGGAGAAATGTGACTGCTAGAGAACCAGACCTTCTTTTCCATACTCTTCAAGACTTTGCGTCCCCTGACTACGTTCTAAGCTCAATGTCGGACGCAATCTTTGAAATTTGGACGACATCAATCCGAACAACTGTTCTCATCCATAGCCTAGAACGACTTGCCGATGATCCAAATCTGCTCCGGAAAAAAAGGTGAGTGCAAGGCTGGATAAAAGCGATGCGTCTACAGCTTCAAAAACAACCTAACCAGGTCGAACTATTCCCGAAAGAACTATGGAAACCATTAAAGGCAATGCATTATGGTGACTCGGAGCTACTTAAGCTATGCCGCGAACAAGAATCCCAGCAATTGTCCAGAATGCTGGTAGCAGCATACATTTACAAGGCAGAAATTCGAATGCTGGTGGCAGCTGAAAACGACCCGCCTGTAACTCCAACTGAACATTTGCAGCAGTTGTTTGAAGTTCTGGAGGGTAACCCTGACATTCATGCTGCAATTCATAGCCAAGACGCTACGGGCTGCTGGGCACTACTCGAGACAACGTTGGCAATCTCCGCTATGCCAAGTGGGCCGGCGGCAATGGAACCACAGCGTCGTGATTAGCGCTACTCCACATGACCATCACGACATGAACGATAAACCAACGGAAGATTATTACGCAGAACTTACAAACATAGCAGCACTATTCGACGAGCCGATCCACGATCAAGGAAGTGCTCTAGTCATGAAGCATTTACTATAGCTACCCAAAATTTGAGAGGATTCGCTCGGAAATCTAGGAGAAATTGGATGAGTGGATGGAGAAGGAGACGGGATGGGCTCCTACCACCCGACATCATCTTAGTCCAAGATACAGCGATTCATCAACAGCTAACAGTCATCGAGATGACACAACAATGGGAAAGATCGTGGCAAATATTAACCACGGAACACCCACTCAGCTACTGGACGGTGACGAACACTAAAGCGGCTGGGATGGGGATTTTAGTATCACCAACTATGAGTTCACACGTAAAGCCGTGGAATAAAAGTGGATGGACATCAAGATTGATGGCAGTTGAATACCACGACTGGTTAATTATCAACCTATACGCTCCAGCAAAAAGAGCAGACCAAACGCAATTTTTCGAAGATCTAAAGCCATGGCTATCCCACCACCAATCCATTATACTAGGGGGGGACTTTAATTGCGTAATGAGACCAAGCAGGGACCGAGTGGAGCAACGACGAAAAAGTACCGGATCCTGCGAGAGCGAAACATTATTTCGCATTCTAGATTCTCAAGATATGACGGACGCAGTAGACCTCCAGTTTGACCTTGACGGGGACGATGAAGTACAAGACCCGCTCCATCATTTTACCTTCTGGAGGAAAAACAGCGCTAGTCGCCTAGATCGATTCTACGTCAAAGGAGAGCCTTTTCATATACTGCAAAGCATGAATGTTCTTGACCCTGCTCATGACTCGGACCATCAGGAAGTCCGCATTAACATTTGCACAAGAAAGACTGAAAGAGAAATCAGAACTGGAAAATTGTACCCAATATCGAGTGGCCGACCTCATCGGATTCGTGAAGCCATCGAATGAGGATTGATCCCGCTTTTGGATGATTACGAACGAACAGCAGACCCTGTTGGCAAATTTGACGCTCTGATAGGAGATATTCAGCCATTGCTCAAACAAACTCGAATAGACGACAGAAAACAGGCGTCCAGATACTTCCGAAAACTTCGCGCTGACACACATGTTCCAAAAGCAACGCGGCCAGAGACGATAGCACAACAAAACAATCTTCGCCGCCAAAGAGCTGCAAGATCGTTTGGGAAACAAGTAGAAAATTCGTCAGAGGAGGTGCGGCGTTTATTTAAGAGGAACTCGGACTGGCAACGGGATCAGTCCGTGTCGCACATTGACCCTTCGCCAGGCCACTTCTATGATGACTGCTATCCAATTGAAGAAAGAATGGCTTCCGAATGGAGCCACGTGTTTGGGAAATCCCATGCATCAACCTCACCGGAAAAAATTAAAACAGCCTTGAAAAAATTTGCGAATATTCCCCAACAACGAACCTTATCAGACAAAGAAGCAAGAACGATGACGAACCCCATATCGGAGGAAGAAACTGAGTCGGCAATTGCAAATTTAAAGCGCCACAAAACAGGAGGGTCGACAGGTCTCAGTCACGAATTCTATAAGGATTTTGCTTCATTGCTTCTTCCAAGTCTCACCAAGCTTTTTAATGCCATCCTCAAAGGACAAGGGATACCAGCTTCATTTTTGAAGGCGACAATGATACCTCTTCGAAAAAATGGAGACTCTGCCGACGCGATGGACTATCGTCCAATTGCTATCCTGAATACAGCATATAAATTGTTCGGCAGAATCTTGGCTGAGCGATTACATGCACTACTACCCAAACTTATTAGCGATTCTCAACAAGGCTTTGTACGAGGACGCAATATTGACAAAACAGTGACAATTTTGCGCTCTATCCTTGCCGCAAGTGAAGACATGGACGCAACAGATTGGGCAAATGCAGCAGCGATATTGTGTGTCGACCTTCGGAAAGCGTACGACACCCTTGACAGGCAGTATATGCTGCAAGTACTACGAAGATATGGATTTACTGACCAGTTTATTGAAGTAATTTGGACTCTTCACGAGGGTACAACTGCCCAATTTTTGGTTAATGGTAAATTATCATCTGAGTGGGAGGAGAACTCTGGCATTCGACAAGGATGCCCGCTAGCCCCTCTGCTATTTCTTTTAGCAGTGGATCCCCTAAGTCACGCGATAAACAACCACCCTAAACTGCAGGGGATCGCAATTCAAGGAAATCTCTCCTGCCGCCATAAATTTTCAGCGTTCGTAGACGACAGCACTGTCTTTTTGAGCTCGTTGCACGAGCTAGAATTCGCCAAACAAGTGCTCGATGAATTTGGTGATCTATCTGGACTGAAAGTGCAGCCAACCAAAAGTATTCTGATAGGTCCTAATCGATGCGGCACTCCAACTAAATGGAATGGATTTCCGGTACTCTCATCAACTGCTTCCACACGACAGTTGGGGTACTGGATTGGCAACAGAAATACTAATAGTGAGAATTGGAGTATACGCATTGAAAAAATTCAAAGACGACTGCGGATAGCAACAACCATAACCAACCCTGTGGCTCAACGAGTAACACTGTTCAACGCCATAGCACTACCAGCAATTCTGTTCACAGGAAAGCAGTTTATTCCGTCCAGAAATAATTTACGCAAACTAGTAAATCTCCAAAAGCAATT